GGTGAAATTTTCTGATTAATGGATTTTGTAAAGAAATGTGGAGAAGCAGTAACAAATGAAGATCATATAAAAGAAGTTTTTCATTGTGATGACAATGCTTCTCAATCATCAATCAATTAAGGAATGGCGAAAACTGTAGTATGATTCTAGATACAGAAAATATCGCTATGAAAGTGACAGAGAAGTTACTGAAAACGAGAAATTTTCGATTGACAAGTTAGTTTGAATTCTCAAAATAGTAGCTACAGGACTTCAACAATATAACTAAACAAGAGATTATGTCTGTCTACAGAATTAAGGAGAAAGGGCTAATCTTTGGAATATGGTAACAGGTAGTTTGGTGACATTTTGGTAAGGCGATAAAGGTTACTAGCTAGGACTTTAGCAGTGTACATGGATAAGGTCAAGAGTGTGTGCAATGCCATTTTTGTGCAATTCTGGGATGTTTTTTTAAGTGAAAATAGGTCGACGTGTACATGAATGATACCGTGTATGTGCAATTCGTAAAAACGCAGCAAGCAGTGAGTGATTCTGCACTTCCTCCCAATTTCGCACCTAATCTTCGTCATGATTAAGCATTTTGTTCTATAAAAGTTCTAGTATAAGCCTAATTCGGCTAGCAGATTGTTGGAAAAAATGTTGAGTAAAAAAAAAAAAAAAACACATGCCTTTACTTCGTGAAAACAATATGGCGTCCAAAACAAAACTAGCAGGTTGCTGTAGCAGGGTTGGTCGCCAAAAAACCGCCAAGTTACCATAATCCAAAGATTAACTGGAGACAGCATTAACACAAAAAATGAAAAAACTTGCACTGAAAGAAATGTTTAATAAGGTAAACAAATAAATATTAAGCTTTTTTTTTTTTTTTTGTAAATTTTGATACCCTTTAGATCAAAAATACTTTATTATTTCATAAATCTCGATTTCATATTTTTAATTTTATAATTTCTACATGTTATCTTACTAGATTTAAACTGATGATCTAATATCCAGAAAAATCATAAATCTGGAATTTCAATGAGCAGTGGTCATTGGAATAGTGAAAATAATTAGCAACAGTTGGTAGGTCTTCGAAACATAAGAATCCTGAGTAATTTCATTTCAGTTTTCTGTCCAAAAACAATATAGAATAATTACTTTTGTTCCGAAACGCTGACTTTACCAAGTGCCATCTTAACTGTTTACACTAATTTGTAAAAAAATATACATAAAAAACCACAACAATGAAAAAAAAAAGAAGAAAATGGGAAAACAAATTAATTAACAAAATACAGCAAACCAAAGGAGAATTAGGACGGGATAACTGCAAACAGTACGAGTTCCTGCACAATGAAGATGTGCAAATCTTCATCAGCAGTGATTTTCCCCTCCTGCTCCTCTGTCTGCTTCTGTTAATTAACAAAATACAGCAAACCAAGGGAGAATTAGGACGGGATAACTGCAAACAGTACGAGTTCCTGCACAATGAAGATGTGCAAATCTTCATCAGCAGTGATTTTCCCCTCCTGCTCCTGTCCCTATAATATGGTTTTCTGAAACACTTCCGCAGAGAACCAGGTAAATGTAAATATTGCTAACTTTGGCGATAATAGTTCAAACCTGGTAACCCAGCGGATTTATACTATTTGCTTGTTCGAAATTTGCAACCATTCCTCTTGAGTTCATTTTGTTGAACTATCACTGTCGTTGTTCGCATTTGCAGATTTATATTATTCTTCTCTTATTTATTATTATTTTTACTGAATTTTTTAACAACGAATAGAAAGAAATATTTTCGTAGATAGATGCCGGTTCTCGCTTCGGGATGAAAGGAAGAAAATACGGCAGGAGGGGTGAATGCTAATTTGTAACATGGCTGTTCACGTAGTGTTCTTAATTCTTAACAGCTCTAAGAACCATGAGGTTTCCAACCTCTAAAATAATTTGTTTTCGTAGGCCGTAAAAATGTGCATGTGCATTTTAAATAATTAAGTGCAGTCAAAAGTCGTTAATCCAGACCCGTCGGGACTTCGGCGATTCCGGATTATAGATCATCAGTTTAAATCTCGTAAGATGTCATGCAGAAATTCTAAAATTAAAAATATAAAACCATAATTTATGAAATAAAGAACAATTATTATCTAAAGAGTATCAAAATTTACAAAAAAAAAAATTTAATATTTATTTGTTTACTTTATTAAACATTTCTTTCAATGTAAGTTGTTTAAGTTGCTTCGTTTTCTCTTTATACTTTCTCTTTAATTCTACAAACAGACATAATTTCTTGTTCAGTTACAAAGTTCCGCTGTTCAAGTCCCGTAATTGCTGTGCCGAGAATACCGACTAACTTGTCAATCGAATTTTTTTCGTTTTCACTAACCTCTCTGTCACCTTCTTCATGTCTTTATCCATTTTTTGCAGAAATTCCACTTATTGTTTAATGGACATCGAAACATACTTTCGGTTTGTAGATCCTTTGGGAGCTCTAGCATCGGAAATTCTATTTGACATAATCGAAAGTTCAAGTTTACTTTTATAAAATTGCTCTTGCAGTCTGCAAAAAATAATAAGCCGGATCCAATTCGAAGATTAAGGAACAACGCAATCATCAACGGTAACTGAAATAGATAATTAGATAATTTTAGCTTATACCGTCCGTTATACATAAAATGTGCACACGCACATGCACAGTCGTAAAAATCTTACGCACACGCGTAAATGCCTATGCGCATGTGTCAACGCGCCGCATGCGCAGAAAGTTTTTAGCTTTGAGGTCCAGATTATAGATCATTCCGGATTATGGGTGTCCGAATTAACAAATTTTTATTATTGGTTATTGTCATCTAAAATTATGAAAATAAATAAATTTTTATGGCGTAAAATTTTAACAAGATAATATATTAAGACACAATAACACGCCGAATAAATACTGATTCAGAAGTCAAACAACAAAAATCAGCGTTAATTCACAAAATTTTCACAGGACTAGTTTCGATGGTTTTACCGAACCATCATCTTCAGCTGCAAAACCGCAAATGAACAAGATAGGAAATAATGTTTAGATAAGATAAGATCATTTTATTCCTATGTTTTCCGTGCTCTTCAAGTTTGCTCCTCCAAACTAGCCCTTGATGAAGAACTAAATTATTTAAAAGCAATAGCTATTGACAGGGGCTTTTCACCCAACATTATTAATCAAGCAGTTAAAAAATTCTCATCTCAACACACTAAAAGCCACACTCTTATTTTAGGAGATTATAAAAATTCTGTTGTCATTCCCTTCTTTCCATCAATTAGCTATAAAGTTGCACATATTTGCAGAAATTTAACTTTCGGGTTGTTTACTCTCCCATCAATAAAATTCCAACTTCTTATACTCAAGGACCCCATTCCGGATATGAATTCCTGGGGTTTATAGGATTCCTTGCCAGTGCGGTTTAATTTACATTGGCCAAACTAAGAGAGCCTTAAAATTTCACGTCAAAGAACATGAGGCATATGTTAGAAAAAAGGAAACACAGAAGTCTTCTGTTGCTCAACATTGTTGGTCCGAAAAATCACACTTTCAATTTTTCTGCTGCCAAAATTATTCAAAAAACATCTTCCATTGAAGAACTGGATTTTCTAGAGGCATTTCACATTCATAAAAATCTTTCTGTTCTAGTTAACGATCCTAATTCCAATCCAAATTTGCCTTCGGCTTTTAGAGAAATTATGTTTTAGTTCTGGTTTCGCCAACAGATGACGCCACTTGCTTATTCTTGTCCAGGCTTTCTTATCTTATCTAAACATTATTTCCTATCTTGTTCATTTGCGGTTTTGCAGCTGAAGATGATGGTTCGGTAAAACCATCGAAACTAGTCCTGTGAAAATTTTGTGAATTAATGCTGATTTTTGTTGTTTGACTTCTGAATCAAGATAATATATTATTAATGCTTTTATAACAATAAAATTCAGATGATGGCAGGTGTGACATAAATAGATGATTAAATTGAAATAAAAAATATTGATTATCTAAGATGACTGAATAGTTTGATGCATCACCATGGTCATCAAAATTAGCAAACCTCTGCTGGTGTAAGGAATATATTGTTTTCTGTGTTAACTGGAATTTAAGACAAACTTTTTTCGTATATCATGTTTAACCGGTTAATTTCAGTAGATTAATACTAATTTGTATTTTTTAAATGAATTTTTAATTCCGTTATAAATGCTGATATAGTGTCTTATGCTTAATATATTCTTTTCTTAGCCAACTTGAATTTAACACAAATTCATTTTCGTATATCACATTTAACCGGTTAGTTTTACATCTACATGCTTATTATCTGCGAATTTTTACTACCATATGCTTAATATATTGTTTTGTCTGCTAACTTGAATTTACGTGTACTAAAAATCATGTTTATGGCTCGGCTTATTGTCGATGAACCGCGAGCTTGGCGAGTAAAAATGCAACGGCGCCAACGAGTTCTCTGCGGATGAAAACCCTGGTTTTCAAGGGCATTTCTAAAATCACACTAGCGATCAAGGAGAAACCAAGTGCTCTGTACTTAGTAACCCTATGGATTAGTGTATCTAAAAAGGGAGAAGAAAATTCATCTTGAAAATTAACAAAATACATATTTAATATTTTATATGTTAAATTTATTTCTTCATTTCTGTTTGGGGATTCACATGCTTACGTGCACAAATAGAGAAGCTGCTACTGCTTAAAGTACTTCTTAAAAAAAAAAAAAAAAAAAAAAAAAAGAGAGAGAGAGAGTCGCTACAGAATTTTTGGTTCCTGCTATGTTAAAGCAGCCATTTCGGGCAAGGACCAATAACTAAAGGACCAATAACCAATAACTAAATAATTGATTGCTCGCGAAAATAACAGCCGATGTACAAGGAAAGCTTAAAGTAAGAATAAATATAAATAAGATAAAGCTGCAAAATCTGATCATTCCTATGTCGTCGTTAAAATTATAAGTTTTTAAACTATGTAATATTACAACAAATGCCAAAATAAATATGCTTACCTCTTGGTCTCTTCCTTTATTCTTGAAGCATTTTATTCGGGCTTGCGAATACATTTTCTAGTCTGAAAAAAGTAAATAACCTGTTTAGTCTGCAAAAGTGATTACTCAGAAATCAGTAAAAGATTTTTGAAAGCATTTTCAAATTCAAAACTCAGGTCAAATGATCGTTTACATTCCACAATAATGTAATTCCAAAAATTCACAAGTATGTATAAAAAAGTGACACATAAAACTCTGAATGCTTCATGATTACGGCTGAATCCTAATATATCATACACATGGGATTTGGCGACATTATGATGAACAGTAAATGCGGTAATTATGATGAGCAGTAAATGAGTCATTTTGGTGTTGGCGAAAATTTTGAAAATCACTCCAAAGCCGTATCGTGTACTAGGATTTTACCTTGATTACTTTAGATTAAGTTTCAAATAATGCATAGTATTCAATACACATATAAAAAAAATGAACAAAAAAAACACGAGGTGTATTACAATAAAACTATTATTCTAATTAAATGCCAGAAACGATTTCGGTCTATAAACTGATCTGTTAAAACGAAACAGTTAACTTAGAAAAATTCCACCCAAAAAAAATTTGATATGTACCAGTTCATGCATATGAACACAAACCTTTGATACAGAACAAAATCATGACATAACAAAAAAAAGTTGTCATTGCAAAGATGGCGTAATGAAATTTACATAAATAAAACTCCTCGAATGACTAATATACTAAAAAAAACTATAACTCCATTAAGCTTTACACATAAAATATTACCTGAAAAATAAATAAGAAAAAACCAAAATGCTTATTAAAAAGCACAATACACAAGCCTTAACACTAGACCAACAGAACTCGCTGAACACGAAATCAAATGGAGGATACGGAAGAAAAGAGACGACGCGATTGGTTAACTCTCAACTGGTTAGAAGGATTTGAATCTTAGGTTTCTTCTTTACATGGTGATGTTTATGCTGAATTTTTATACTTTTAATAATTTTTCTGAATTACTAAAAAAATTTATATGTAACTAGTGCAGTTTACTTATAAATATGGAGTTTACCTTTTATTGATTTGAATTTATAAGCGATTTATTTGAAAATACATAAGCAAAGGAATCAAAAAGGCCCATTTGTAAAAATTTTAATTTAAAACAAAATAAAACTTTATACATTTATTAGCTGCGTAATATACAAATGTTTAATTTTTATTGCATTTACTTTGCCGTTCAAAGCGAACACGACTTTCGCTACGTATTTTGCCGCGCGTTGTAATGTTTTGGAGAGCCAAATTTTGTTGCTTGGCAACATCTCTAAATTCTAAAAACTTTGTCGCTCCTAACTCCAAAGGAGGTTAGAATAGGATTCTAATCTCCTTGGCCCAAGGCCCAAGGCGTTTGACTTCCGGAGTACCTTTGCAACTTAATGCAATTACCTCCACAACTTCGATAAGGAAACTGAGTTGGATAAGAAAAAGCAATGGCTAAAGGAGAGATGAACAAACCATTAAGGGTTTACACTGAAAGAAATGAATAAGGAGTCCACATATGGGACGAGCAATTCTCTCTGCTTTCAACTTGTAATTCAAGATTGAAAGAGAGAAAGGTGTTGATTGAGGCGAATTCCGGAACGCATTGCGTTAATGGAATCGGAAAGGTTGGAAGACAATCAGCCGGGAAACATAATTTTCCAGGGCTTGGGAAAGGTAATATTAGGTAATACGGACAGCCGCAGTGATAGCTAATGCCCTGGGGATGAGCGGGGGGGGGGAAGAGTCTTACGACTAAAACTGGAATCCAGGGAGGAAGAAGCGAGGAGGAGGGGGGAGAGTCTATTCAGGAAGGCGAAAAGTTCTCCGACCGCCCGTGGCGAGAGGAGAATAGGAGCAACTTTTGGAGCGGAAAAGAACCGTGAGGAAAGTTAACTGTGAAAAAGACGGAGAAATTATTAGATGAGGATTTAAAGGGACAGAAATAGAGCAAAGGAAGGAAGTAGAAGGAATTAAAGGAAGTGAAAAGAGTTAAGGGGGAGTGCGAGATTTAAATTTAATTATTGAAGAAGGTCTTGAAGTGATGAAATGCAAGCCTGTGATACCTGTGCAGAAATAAGGAATTGATAAGTTGTAGTTAGGTAAATGGAGCACTGCAGGAATGATTAAAAGTAGATTAATTATTGCTGTATTAATTAAGTCAAAATTTTAATGGAATTTTATTAATAGTTATATAAGTTTGAATAGGTTGATTTTAATTATTGCTAATTTTTTAAAATTTACTTTAATGTTATAAGTCTGGTCCGTGATATGTGAAAAGGTGAGGTCCTGATAAATGGGGGGAGGTCATGTTTAGTGGTACAGATGTAGGTCGCGATAAACGAGGCCAGATTAGGTCTAGCGGGCAGTGATGTAAAAAGAGAGTTAATTAAGGGTCGCCGGGTTAGGCCCGTGAAGTGCTGGTTAAAGTTTAAATTTAAAAATTAGAAAGAATTCCTAGTCAAGCAAGCACCTCCGCTTTGGCTTCCTAGGAAAGATGTTAAATGTTCTATCAAGAACGCTCCTAGGTCGCTTGGCAGAGCTGGGCTCTGCTGGATTATAAGCAGGAAGTGAGTGCAGGACTGGGTTTTCAATCTGAGATAGTCTATTGAAAAACTTGGGCCGAATTTTGCCGAAAAAAGGCATCCAGGGGTAAAATTTTGAGATCATTATGTAGCACTTCATTCCGGACGAAATAATGAGCATTGGTGAGTATGCGAAGCGTAACACTCTGGAATACTTGGAGTTTCTTTAGGTGACTGTTGGCTGCGGTTGACCAGATGATAGCTGCATATGTGAGGATGGGAAAGATGGGGGGAGAATACCATTTTCCAAAACATACCGAAAGTTGTCCCAGTTAGTCGAGACTTGCGCCGGTAAATTTTGATTGATTTTGGTAGTTTTAAGGGTGAGGTGAACCGGATAATGGTCAGAGGACAGTTCCGGAATCACTTTGATCGAATAATCTAAAGAATATTTTTAAATAAGGCCAAATCAATAATGGAAGGAGCACCTAACCCCCCAGGAAACTGGTAATGGGTAGGTGAGTTCGGCGCTATAATTTGGATACGGGCGTCCTGAGCCCAAATTTTGAGTTTATCGCCATAGTTGTTGGCAGTGACACAATCCCAACTTCTATGACGGGCATTTAAATCTCCTGCGATAATCAGGTTATTTGCAACACCACTTAATTTTCTGAGATCAGAGAGAAATGCAGGTCCCTGTCTCGGAGGCATGTAGCAGGACGCTACTGCTATTGGGGGGGAATTTTGAATATGAATTTGGATAATTGTCGCTTCTAGGGCCTCCAGTGGTGGCGTGGGTATTCTAGAATGCTTTAAAGAGCGTTTTACATAGATGCTAGTACCGCCACTAGCACGAACAGTGTCACTGATGCATACCTCTCTATCATTTCGGTAGCAGAAATAATTCGCGATGTTCGCGCTAAGTCCCTCAACCAGATGTGTCTCCTGAACGAGGAAGAGGTCCATGTGGTGCTCATTGATAAAATCCCGGACTTCGTGGATCTTGTTTTTTATTCCGTTGGCATTCCAGAACGAAATCAGGAGGTCTTCTTCTCTGTTTGAGTCGTTGAACTTGATGTTTTAGTTGAGGAGTCCAACGTAGGCTTCATAGATATAAAATGCTCTCTCAGGTCCGGTGGAGACTGTCCGTAGCTGAGGCAGGGCATTTTTGAAGGCTTTCAGTAGGGTTTTATGTTCTATTCCAAACTCTGAAGAGATCTGGAATACACAACGGAGGGTATCGGTGCAGCTGTAGTCCTCTGGAGTTGGGGCTAAAGCCTGGGCCGGTGGTGCTGGCTGTGGCGCAGGTTGCAGTGCCGGGGCTTGCTTCTGGCCTTGCTTCTGCTCCGAAGTCATATTAAGTCCGGGATTTTTTTTGTCGGAAAGCGATTTCACTAAATAGGGGATCTGTACCACTAAGGAGAGGTTTAGCTGGCGCCGGTACAAATTTTGATTTCCCGCTATCCTTACGAATATTGGGGTTTTTGCCCTTGTTCATGGGATTCCTGGGACAGTGGAACCAGTTGGCCGCATGCTGACCAAGGCAGTTCGCACATGTGTTCGGTTCCTCAGGGTCTTTGGTACACTGGTACGCAAAATGCGGGCCAGCGCACCGCAGGCATTTGATGGGGAGCGTGCACACTGCTGAACTGTAATCTCCTTGGTGTCTTCCCTAAAACCTAAAATTATTGCTGCTCGTTACTTCTGAAAAGTCTATAAATTTGGTTGTCCGTAAACTTTGCCATTCGGTGCCAGTGTTGCCAGAAATTTTCCAATTAAGGAGTAGGACCAGTTCAGAAGAAATACATGTTTTTTAGGCATACTGGTTTAACAAGGTATCAGTCCCGGATCTAGAGGGGGGGGCAAGTCGGGGTTTGTGCCCCGGGCGGCAAATTCAAGCGTGTTACTGGATCGTATTTGGAAAGTTGTCTAATTTTTTATACAATATTAGTAATTTTAAAGATCACTTTTAAGAATATTTATAATTAATTACGAAGAGACATTTTAATGAAACAAACAGTTAAAAGAAAGCTAAGTAAATTCGAATACGACTGTAAAGATAAGATCAGAGAGAGGACAATCGAGGAACTCCAGGCGTCACTGACAAGGTCAGACGACCCTGTCCTCGAGGCTCGCGCCTCTGCCAACTCAACACAGCCTAAATATAATAGATCTGGGGGGGGGGGGTGACCAACCTCATTTGATTTTTCACTGCCGTTCACTTGCCTTCCCAAAAGGGATTATTGCCCCTTTTATGCAAGCTCACTTCAAAATGTCTTGCCCGGTCGTATACCAACTTCGCGGAATTAATTGAAGCCCTCCTCAATTCTCTAAGGAGGTAAGAAAGGAGGTTATTTCCTACCTCCATGCAATTCTCCTCGACAACTAACAATGGTCAACTTTTCAGTCCCTCACTTTAATGTACAAAGGGTGACACACAAAGAAGAAACTATGAATTACGAACGAATTACTTTCTTTTATACTCATATTATATTTTTATAATAAAGAATGATGAGTCAGAACTTGTTTTTATGCTCCACAGGAATTAAAAAATTTTCAAGTTGCAACATTTAGCTGCTATATGTTATTTTTGACAATTATTATATAAAGAAGAAATTTGGGACTTAAGTAGTTAAAATCTTGCAAAGCGATAGTTAATGTATCTAAAATATTATCTCCCAATTCTTGAAATTAAAAGTGGTCAATTAATGTCAAAAACTAAATAGGAAAAAATTGAAATTAAACTGAGTTATCGTGTTTCTTAAAATTACCATCCATATTTACTGATGTAATTTTAAGAAGTGTAATAACCGAGTTAATTTGAATTTTCTCCTATTTAGTTTCAACATTACTTGTCCACTTTTAACTTCACTTTGGAGGTAATGTATAATATATCAGTTTTGACAACATTTTAGGTAAATAGTTCTAATCTAATTTTAAAATTCTTTTCATTGAATCCCAAAATTCGGCTTGTTAAACGGTTCTAAATTCATACAAATATTATTATAATATATGTCATATTAAGCCGTTATTTACTTTTCCAATTTTTAATCACTGAACTTGATGTTACTTAACTTTCTTACAGTCTCCATATTTTAAGAAATTTTAAAAAATTTATTTTGTTTTCCAATACTTTTCTCACCGATATGCAATGAAACACATTTAATTTAATTAAACACATACACGTTTAATTAATCATTATGAACATATGAAACATGTTCATAATTATACAAAAAATTTCTAACTTCCTTCTATTCATCGCTTAAAATTTTTAATGTCCTGTTCACCCATTTCTTTTTAAACTTGCATTGTATATTTCTTTTTGCTATACATTAGAATTTGTATATTATTGTTGTATTGTAT